GGAGCCAATTGCGGGTGACCATTCGGTAAGAAGCAGGGTCACTCTCCGCTGCTTTCGTCAAAGCCCTGGAGGACAACACAAGCTGCTTTGAAGACGCTTATTTCAAGCTGTTCACCTACCCCACACTCACCGTATCTTACACTGATGATGCAGTCAGGGGGCTTACATAAATTGAAACAGAAACACACCACCACTCACATCCCTAGACCAGCAGCAACGAGGGAAAACAGGCAGCCCTCAACAACCACAGGCATGTTTTCCGGGTGCGGGGGCCCCTGCACAATTGAAGGGATTATTCTGAGATCACCACCGCCTGAAGTGCAAAGATATATCTGGATCCTGTCAGGAACTTGCAGCGAAGCTACTTGACGTCGAGGTTTGGGTTTTACCGCGTTGGGCTAGATGATATACTGTAAGGTTTCAAGGAACTCCTGTGCATGGAGGAATTCTTGCGCTGCAGCATGCGGAAACATGCGGAAACCACGACTGCGCCACGAGTGTGTCCCGGCATCAGCAGTGTCGTGTTACCCAAAACCATGTAGGCTTCCGACTCGTCATCCATAGAGTGAAGGATTCAAGCAGTACAACATTCTCCTTTTCAAAGAAGTACGCTCGCTTGCAAGGTCCCTGCCTCTGTCTGTCTTCATGACCTTTCTGTAAAACTACCGGGCTAGTATTTTACATGTCGATAGCACATCTGCCATCTCTGAAATTGGGCCCTGGTGTCTGGGCGAGCTTTCCATGCAAATCCAAAATGCACCCGAAGAGAGCTGGCATTCCGGAAGAAGCAAGGCTTTCCCAAACAGAGTTCTACCCCGTTTGCCGCTTCGACGTGCTTGACACCTGAAAGAGAACAATACGTGAAAGAGCTTAACTATTTGCCCTGGACCGTGGACCTGCTGCCAAACATAGGATACCCATGATTATCCTAAACCTTGAGCCCCACAACCTGGAAGTGGCGAACTCTGCAAGTACTAAAACTACCTAGAGACTCACACCCCAAACTGTCTTCAGCCGCCTGCGCTTTAGTGAAAGAGACGCTACCCATAATATGTCCGGCCCCATCACCCGCTCATTCCTAAAACGCATGCTGTGGAGTCCTCGTCTTCGCGGCCTAAGGTTTGAGAATCAGGCCAGGCTACATAGTCGTCTGCGGCTGCCGCCGAACGCTTGCGAGACATGCCAGCGGACGTTCGTGATGAGGGGATTCAGGGAACTGAAGAGTTGCATCCTTGCTATATTGTCTGTGGTCATCCCGCCGCACGTGGCATACAGAGAAATCGGCGGACGTATCGTGATTCAATTAGGTTCGCAGAAGTGAGACAGAACAGTTATGACAGCAGCGCGGCACTAGGACATGACAGGGTGAACCTGCGAGTAGTTGCAATTATGAGATTTCGGCTTCGTGTCTCGAAGGTTGGCTGGCTACATGCTGGAAAGGGTGAGCTACTCGGCTGGGGGCAGTGGGGCTTAAGGCTTAGGGTCTTAGGGTGACGGCTAAGGATTTGCCTTTTGCAAGATTTGATGGCAGTTGGGGCGGAAGCCCACAAGTTTGTCACTCGTGAAAATAAAATCATACTGCTCAGCTGCCATTCTTGAGTGATCAGCAGTGGAAGCTGAGAGTATTTGGTCTACACCCACCTACCCTCCTGAGCGTCAGCGACTGCTGCGAGCCGCACATGACCACGTCGGATATACTTGAGGGGTGCTTGATAACATCTCGCTTTGCAGAGCCGACATGAATGCCCTAACTTCTAGATTTGCGCCTAATCGCTCATCTACTAGGTGGGATCTGAAGCTGTGTAACGCTTGGCGGGGCGACCCTTAAGTATGCATCAAAGATATAGGATCCCAACAATCTCAAGAACGCGTCGTCAAAAGGCTTCTGTTCTTAGATGTTTAATTAAATGCCAACATTGTTTTCAGGATGTACTTGAAGTAGCTTTTACCATTGGAGCGTCTGTCTAAGCTTGAATTCCTGACGATCGGCTACAGCATTGGCAATGTCGCTTTTCAGGCGTCCCCATTGCTTTTTAGGTTTTGGGCCGGGTTGTCGACAAGGTGTTGGGCACATTTTGGGTTCCATGTCCAAACCTTACATAACCTTTACGCAAGCTTTGACAATTGCTCCTATACAAGGAAACTAACTAGCACCATAATGGTGGCATTGCTTTTGGACTTTAGGCCCCATGTGGTGACACATTCCATGGGTCCACCTTGCGCAGTTTAAGGAAAAGCAAGCTATCAGATGCTAAGCTGCGCTTCTGGATTGAGAATATTCAATGAGGGTTGAGGATTCAGGCGGGCAGAAATTTCGGATTCGGGTATGGACAACCCAAGCCCCCTGATGCTAGGACTCGGAGCCCATCAAAAAATGCACTGGAAAAGGCCTCCGCTAGCAGCAGACCCAAAACGCTGAACCATAGGGAACCCTGCCAAAACCGTGTTACCATCATGAACCCTGGAAGAAGCTATCAACAAGTGCAGGAAGCTCTGCAGAAGCGCATTTCGAATTCTACGTGCAAGTGCCACAAGGAATAGTACTTGTGGTGTAGGCCCTGGGAAGCTTATGGGGTACCTTTCATTGACCACACCAAACGCCCCATAAACATCCGTTAGCAACAACCTGACCCTGGCCTGCAATGCCCAAGGCATCATTGGCAGCTGCGGGGAACTCAGCGCTGGCAACCAGATGTCGCCGACCCACCTCACATAGACATAGACTGTCAGCACAATGGGCCTGACATTCGAAGAGACAAATGCTAGGAGAGCGTCAGGCTTTCCAGACTTCCAAGGCTCGACTGTTGTATTGATTTTTCACACTGTTCTAAAACCAGGCGTTCCAGCACAGAAAGTCTGGGAGAGGTATGCGTATGCTTCACCAATTTTGTCTGAGGGCTGTAAAGGTCCCAAATACAGGTTTCCTCATCATGATTTTCCCTTCCCTCGGAGAAGGCTTCTTTCACGCCCGCCTACACATTTTCTACGCGCTTTGGCTGACTCTAGCAGTTGATACAGGAGTTTGCACCCTAAACCCTAAAACCCACCTATTGACTTTACATGGCGCCTTCAGTCAAGGAGACTCTGGCCTTACACATGGGGATCATTCGGGGTGCATGAGGGTGCAACATGTTGACAAATGTGCACAACAGATCCCCGCAGGCTCATAACATACGATTCACGCTGTAGCCATGCGAGGCACATAAATGAAGGAACCAACTCCTGAGGACGCTGAGTAGTGTACAAGTTACGACGACGACAGCATACAAGGATCTGCGGTGCTCCTACTTCTTTTTTGGGCAGGTGCAAAGCAAAGCAGGTTTGGCCTTCCTTCAGAAGGCCTCATCTGGTAGTTGATCGCACAAAATGGTCACACAAGATGGCCACTGAAGCAAGAAAAGCTCTCCACGACGGGTGTCCGATAATTTCCAGAGACATCAGGAGCCATCCGTGCTGGGCACTGACTTCGTCAGCTGAAGACTGGATAACAGGTTGGCCCAGGCAGCCTGCACTCGGCTGTAGCTGGTGCCTAAGAACTCTCAAGACGTCCGGGTAGTTTCTCTTCCAGAACTCTCGGCATAAGGGCTGCGCTTCTTGTTTTGAAGGCACTTCGTGCAGTCTATGCTTGCCATGGTCGGTTCATGACGGGGCCGTACTTGGCAGTCCACTCTGCAGCTGCAGCACTATGGTGTCTGTGGGACTACGTGGCCTCTAATACTCTGTCTGACACACCTGAGTCTGAGAGAATGCTGCCAACCACAACATCCTGCTTTGCATCATGCTGCCGAGCAGAACGCTTGCAGTTTACTTTCCGAAGGCACACAGTGTCACTTGCAAGGACAGTGCTCGGACTTTAATACAATGGTTACACACGTAGACAGCACTCAGACATGCTTTTCCTTATCGAAATCCGATGCCAAAATACAGTACATACTTGTCTCTTCCAGGATCACTCGTCGCGGGATATTGGTTCACACAAAGGCTGCGCAGCAAGGGCAACCATTTCTTGGTGCCACGATTCTTGGACTACACGTCATCGTATGTTATGATGGACACTTACAGTTCCTACTAACTCGTAAGGAACCCTCATGCTTCTCATGACGAGTTTCTTGGAGATATCACGCTTGGAATCGCGGCCCTGGTTCACATCTCTAAAGCTGCCGCCATCTCCACAGTTTCTCGCACGAGGCGGTCCTGCACACAAATGAGTCTGCTGTTTAACAGAACCCCCTATATATCCCCTATATTCCCCCTATAGTACCCCTACCCTAAACCCTAAACCCCTAAATTACACCCATATGTCCCCGTAGATTAGCATGAGGCTCAGCCTGTCTTCGAGGTCGCGAACCCAAATTGTTGAATGATGGTGCTTCGAAGAGAGAGAGAGAGAGAGAGAGAGAGAGAGAGATATATCCCATCCAAACTTGGCCGGAAAACTTTGATAGCGGGACTCATGCTACACTAAAAAATCGGAGCATATGGTCCATATGGTTAACAACCACAGAACCTGCATTTTTAACTTCAGGTCCGTCATGTCTTCGTGCTTCTCAGGCTTCTTCGCCACCGGCTTGGCTTTCGGCCTTGAGGAAGACGCTGACGACTTTGCGGCGGCCTTCCTGATTCAAAGAGCTATCTTCTAGGGCTTAGGATCCAGGACTTCCCCCAAAAAAGGGTACCTGGCGGCTGCTATAGGGCGTCATGGCATTCCCAAACTTTTCCAGGGTAGGTTTGGCTCCCTCTTGAACGTCATATACCGGACATGCGCATTACTTTGAGAACTCAACTTCTAAACTTCTCTAAGAAGCGTGGAATACACGCAAAATAGTCTATGAGATAGGGTCCGCATATCCGGACTGTGGTACGTTTAGGTGTCCGGCTAGGGCGCGGACCTTCAAGCCCTATGCATCACTGAGCCCGCAACCCATAAGACGCCAGAATTCAAGCCCTCTATCAGGACTCGACCTAGCTACCGTTTAGATAACTGCTTGCACAATATATATTCATTTTACACGTCTGTCAAGATGACCGAGCTGTAGCAAAGGGAAGAACTCCTTTCGGACGAGGATCTTTTTCTTCCTCTTCGGCGGCTTGAGTTCAAGTACATCTGGCTGCATGGCCAGAAACTTCTGCAGGGCAATAACTGTCTTCTTGCCAAGGCCGCTGTCCAACGGGCCAGGGTCGCAACCTGTTTCGTTGTTTCGACATGTATCCAGCTGCTTGCGCCCCAATAAGATTCACCTTAAAAATCTGCACAGTACGCCTTGCATAGGACCTTGGGCGTTCAAATTAAGCCTACGTAATCCTGCGGAAGTTTGACGACTGTCCTCAGAATCCTCTATAGACCTTTGCAGCGAAAAGAAGGGTCTAAGCCTCATCCGCATGCTGTAAGGTAACGACCGCTTTCGGTAACATGGGCGATAACCGTCCCGATCATGCTAGAAGTGCTCTGAGTCATGAAATCTTCCTCAGGAAAAACTATCAACACCGACAGCAGCCATCTTGGACCTTACACAGCTAGTATAGGATTGAAGGATTTGGGTTACGCGTGAGAATTTCTTACAGCTTTTAGTCATTTCGGCTCCTGGCTATTGCTTAACGCGTGACAAGCCTCGCTGCGCCAAGAACTTCTGGAGGGCCAAAATGGTCATCCCGCCCATTTCGCCGTCCTCCTTACCTTGCAATATGTGGCAGAGCTTGTTTCTGTTAGGGCCCTCACGGATATGTTGGAAACTTGATTTGGTTGCCATTGCAAGGACTTTCAAGCTGCAGGGTCTGGAATAAACCATTTGGGTGTTCGGAGTGAGTTTAGTAACTATTCAGAATTGCGAGATCGCGCGCACAAGAGGCACTCTTGGGAGCGTACGGCAGCATTAGGAAGCCCCTTTTGAGACATTATGCACAGGAATTGCGGAATGCGGGTTAGTAGACATGCAGCGAATCAGGCACTAAATCTGTTCATAGCTGAAATTGCAGCCGAATCCACAGATTGCTCGGGAATCTGTGTCTTTTGGGGCGGTTTTTCCGATCAGCACGACATTTTTGGGTTGGAGGGCGAATGCACTTTAATCTAGGGAAATGCATCTGGAGTTTGTAAGCGGCCTGCAAGGTAGATTTGCAATCGTGGCATTTCCCCAAAGGACGCCACGCGTCGGGAGATTCAACTACTTCTACCGCGTGTTAGGATCCTACACTTACAAAGGATATATGCTGCCATTTTTTTTTGGACTTTATGCGCGCACCGCTTCTTCTACCATATGAAATAGCGTGTAGCTGTTATGTAGGAAACACGTCCAGAAAAGGTGTTGATGCAGGGGCTCATTGGGACAATATGAAAACAAGCGGCTGTTACACTCACAATAAGCAATGCTGAATTTCAACAAGAATGGTGTTGGACTGCTACAATTTCGGTGCTCCACGATCAAAGGAAGCCCAAGGCCGCAAACCGAAAGCTGCCATCCCCCACCATGAAGCAAAAACATTAGACCGAAACCGCTGAGCTAAACGTCGCAACTATTCGTTGAACTTGACACTTCAAACCTAAGCCGCAACCGTCCAACCGTCCACGTTGAATGAAACCAAGCTGCCTTTGTACAAGGGTGGCTCCTCCCTCAGTTCCTCATTCTTGAGGAAATTCTGGAGAGCCATGGCTGATTTCCTGAGCTTTACATTAAAACCCTCCAGGCGGCATTTTGCTTTCAGAGCTGGTCTTGGCAACTGTACAGCATGCATGTTTTGGGCCTAGCAACATGGCCCTGCCTGCCATCATAATCAACTGCAGGAGACCATGCGAAAGAAAGTAAGAGACAAATATTGGAAGTAGTCGTACGAGTAGTAGAGGTGGATGGATTCATAGTGGTGACGACAGCATGGTTTTGGGATGTCTGGGAGTTGGGGGGTGGGTCATAAAAACGCCCTGTTGAGGTTTCTGTTTGGTCATTTTGGATGTCTTGCGGTATGGGGAGGGTCATGATAACATGTTGTTGAAGTTTCAGCTTGGTCGTCGCCGTCGGTCATAGCTCTTCCAAGACGAGACAAATTCACTGTTTGCCTGGAGGTGATGTGATCGAGTCGTGTTGCAGGCTAAAAGAAAGAACGGCAAAAGCCTTGCCTCAAATTAATCGCCAAACACATGTTTCGTGACAAACGTTAAATCTCCTACATGACCCCAAAGCATAGCCCAGTTTCTTGCCCCATGAGCCGTCTGGCTTGCATTCCTGATCCTCCAGAGGGCCCAAATAAGGAAGGGCTGCACTTCGAGGCTCTTAGGGTACGGAAGTCAACGGAAATCATATTGATAGCATGTGAGGAGTGAGGGTTTAGGACGGTGGGTTGTGGGTTTAGGGTCGTTACGAACAAGGTTATAAATTTAACTATACCCATGAGTTATACGCGCACCAAATAAGCGCAGAGCTTGTGAAGCTCACTATCTCGCCTATGACATATTACAAGCCGGAGGCATACTGACCATTGACCCAAGTTATTGAACCAGAAAGCAGGGACTTTGGGTCTGGGGCTCATCAGCCGTTAGGGATTGGAATGGGGTTTGTCGGGTTGGCGGATTTAAGGTTTAAGAGACTAGGTTTACAATTCAGGCAGCGGTCCGTCATTTTGTCTCCAGATGAGGTATTTAACTGCTTGGGGATGGAAAGGTGAAGCCCAAATGTGGGCTAAGCAGGAGATAAACCCTATATCCTATAACCCTGAACGCTGAGCCTCTACACCCTAGATACCCTAAACCCTATACCCTAAACCCTGAGCCCTAGACCCCCCTCCTCATCTTGCAGGAACTGCTGGAACAGCTTTGTGTTCTCGCCACCATCCCGGACACCGCTTTTGAAGTCCACATCATACCCTCAGGCGTGAACTACAAGAAAGGGCCCCCAAGGCAGTGGTAATTCAAGAACTTAGGTGATGGTTGTGGGCCTGTTTTGGGAAGAAGGCTCTGAGCTACGTCTGGGTGACAATGTGTAGGAGACAGTATCGTTCTCAAAAAAACCTAGAGATTCAAGGCTCAAGCCGACAGCTCGGTCCCAACTCCGGGCGTGCCCTGGTTTCGGGGTTTGCGTGCGCAAGATGAGCGTTCAAATGGTGTAACCCTGTTAGGGAGGCATAAGTCCGCAATCACCCGAGAGAGGGAGGTTCTACCTGTAGAATAGGAAGCACGCGGGGTACGGTATATCCCACTATCCGGGGATTAGCGCCGAAATCGGGATGCAAGGACCGGTGCCACAAGGACCCTTCGCTTTCGGAAATTGCACCTTAAGCCCTGAACCCTAACCCTAAACTTACCCAAAACATGTACTATAATTACTATTTCCCTAAACCCAAGAACCTAATTATTGGGTACTTGGACCCTCTGGGTAAACAAGGCTTCACAGCCCAGCGTCCCTCATCTTTCAGGAAGAGCTGCAGCGCTTTTTCGGTAGTGTTTCCCCAGTCGCCATCTTCAGCTCCACAGTAGAAACCCTCCTGATAACAAGTCTCTTGGTAGGGTTTTCGCCTGCTGTGAAGTCTTTGAAGGTGATGGTCCCCACATACCCACTCTATGTCCTACATGATGCCGAGTTATCATGCCCTTTAGCACGTCTCTGATATTCACAGTTTCAAGGTTTTCCTAGGAAAGGTTTGTCTAGGAGGCACTCTCGGTTTCTTCTTATAGCGACCCCGGATTCTCACAAACCATGCCCGAACGTAGAGACTCCGTGCCTTCTTGTACTATGGCCCCTCCCTCCGTGCAGCGCCCAATTGAGGAGGTGACTTGACATTTGAGGGGAGTGTACTCTACGGTTCCCCGCCTTGAGCGAGCTTCTCAAGTTCCGGACAACTTTTAGGCCCTACAGACCCTCAACCGGAAAGCGGGTCCTGATTTAGGAACTTTTGCAGCGCCGTGACAGACTTCTTCCCGAAGTCGCCATCCGCAGAGGACTCTAGGAGGCTGGGCATTGTGAAGGCAGCGCGCACTTCTTGAGCCCTAGAATCTACACACGACACAGACGGTAGTGTAGGCACTGGAGGGCTGCAAGCCAGTCATAGGGAAGGCCAAGAAGGGTTGTATAAAACCCCGAATTGAATCCTTCATAACCTTCAACCTTATCGTTTCATTTTACTCCTTATCGTTTTACTGTGTTTGGGGCTTCCCTGCTTTTCCAAGTCTTCA